ATGTAAGACCATTTAGTTAGAGCATTGCTGAGGTACTTTATGGAAGTAGTCACAGGCAAGTGAACATCTTTGTAAGATGCTTGACATGGTTTCTATCCTATGTACATTTACAATTGGCAGGAACCATGATTTGTCATACATGAATATTGATAATATGAAACATATGGAATACATTATTGCTAGAAAATGTTCTATGTGAGTTAAAATGATGGACTAGACTTTAAAAAGGTATTTGTTTTCAAATTATTTTAAGGTAACATGCAAAGCACAGGGTTTTTATAGGATTTTCATACACATATGTGTATATGTGTTATGAAGCATGTATGTGATATATAATTACATAAATAAATAAATATATATAATTACACTTTGTTCTAATTCATTTCCTTCCCCTACTGTTCCCAACCTCCTATTCCCTCCTATAGGTTCACTTCCTCTTCCTAAATACTCTCATCCTCTGCTTCCATGTTACATGAATTCTGTTAACCTCTCTTTCATCCCTTTCTAACGCCCTTAAGATGTCTGTCTTCTCTCTCATGGTCTCCTTTTTATTTTCATAACACACAAATACACACACACACACACATAAACACACACATTTTTGGATAGTAGAGAAAACATGTTGTTTGGATTTCTGAGTGTAGTTTATTTTTAATTCCATCCACTTTCTTGCAAAGGTCAGGATTTCAGTTTTCTTTATGGCTAAACAAATACTCTATTGTGCATAAGTACCACATTTTTTTTATACATTTATCTGTCAATACACAACTATATTGTTATGGATATAGGCTGATTCTAACAACTATAAACAAAATACTTGACTCTTAAGGCTATTTTATACAAGGTGACTTAGGCTGGCTCAGAAAACTTAGTAACTTGGCCAAAGACAGTACAGAGTTAAGATTAAAAAAAAAAACCAGTCTTCAAAACCCGTGCTCTTAATCATTATATGCCATAGGTACTATATTATTTTATGAGGGCAGCCAAGTCAGTATTTACAATGAATTTGTTTTTTAAAATATACAATGAAGCAAAAGCCACAAGACCATTTGGGTAACTAAGTTGCTTGGTTTATGATTTGACTCTCTTCTCCTCACTAAGAATCCCTTTTCATCAAGTTTCTTTGTACCCAACAAAGCTCACTGTATAGGACAATAAGTTCAGCAGGCAACTAGCACCCTTGTTTCTGTTGTTTGTTTTTTTTAAATAGGGGAGTGTATTTTCTTTGATGTAAGATGTGAGTGAAGGATAAGCAGTTAGAAAATAATTAGGGGAAATAAATACGATTTTAAATAGTTTTAGAGACAATCCTCGAAAACCGTTTTAGAGCTTTGGAAAGTGTAAAGGCAATGATCATTTATTCCCAAAAGAAAAATCATATACGTGAAAAAGATATATAATAGCAGAATCAAGAGTTCAAGAATATTATGAGATCTCATGGTGTCCAATATTAGATTTGGACAGAGCTAAGCTTTAATCCTGGCTCTGGGATTTATTAACTGTGTGACCTTGGGGATGAATGTGTCATACCAAGCTTTGGAAATCACTCATTATGGTGTATTGTGATGCTTAAATAGAATAATGCATAAAGTATTCAGCATGGTTCATGACACAAAATGTAGAAGCAACTCATGTTCACTAATGTATATACAAAACAGAGTGTATAGCTTGTGATATCATCCAGCCTTTAAAAAGAAAAGAATTTTGACATGTGCTAACACACAGGAAAACCTGGAAAACTCCTTGCTAAGAAAACTATCCAGTCACAGAATAACAGGTATGTGATAAATACGGAGTCCAAAGCAGAAAAGTGAATGGTGATTACTAGGGATGCCAAGAGGGAGGAGTGGAGATGTTTGCTTAATGGGCATAGTCTTTGTTTTGAATGATAACATTTGCACAACTCTATGAATAGACATAATACTGAACTATTTCATTAAGATGATTGGGACAGTAATTTTATGTGTGTTATTCTACATCAAAGAACAGAGTTGGTATTAAAGTGACAATTTTCATCCATTAGTCTGACAAAGATCAATTATCACACGGATATATTTATCTTTCCTCATTTGGTTTGTGATTCTCAGGCCTTGTGTGAGGATTTGTTGTATAAAACTCTAGAGATGTCAAGGCAAGAAGACAGTTAAGAGCATTTGTTTCATCCAGTGTCATCTAGACACCCCAGAAAATTTACCTGGAACCCAGAAGGATGGATTGTTCATGCAAGGTCATATACTAGAGGGCAGGGAAAAGTGGATTAGTGACATTTCTTGTGAGTTTTTAGTTCAAACCAAAAATGTCTTTGAGCCGAGGCCATTATACTGAACATAGAAACGATGTGAGTTGATACCTTTTATTTGGAAGCTTAACAAATGCCCTGCTATACACACATCCGCAGTTAACCTGGAACTCAGTGACTGAGATGAAGACTGTATTTTTTTTTAAAAAAAGTTATTTATTTATTTTATTTATTTATGTAGTGTGTGTGTGTGTGTGTGTGTGTGTGTGTGTGTGTGTGCAGATATGCAGGTGCCTACAGAGGCCAGAAAATGGCGCTAGATCCCCTGGAACTGGAGTTGCAGGCAGTTGTGATGGGGGTACTGGGGGTGATGGGAACTGAATTCCAGTCCTTTGTGAAAACAGCAAGGTCTCTCAGTGGCTGAGCCATCTTTCCAGCTATTTCTTTATTAAAAGTGTTTATTGATTTCTCGTGTTATTATCAATGTATTAAAGAAAATGGCTGATGCTTGTCTCCTAAACGATTCTTCTACTTTACTTAAATGCTGAGTTTAGTAAATCAAGACCTATTGCTCTTTTGAGTCCTGTTTCTTTTTATTTTTGACGGATGCACAATCAAATGCACACATTCATAGCATGCAATGGGATGTAATGCTATAAACTCAGGTGATTAGCATGCGCATTATCTTAAATCCATCATTTCTCTGTGTTAAGAACAATAATAATCACGTATGGGATATATATTGTTGATTGTGGTCACCCTACTGTGCAGTAGAACACCAGGGTCTGTTCTGTGACTTTGTACTGGTTCTGCAACATTTACTCATCTCCCCTCCCCTTGTTCCCTCATCCTCTTGTGACCCCCTAGTCTCCTATCTCTGTGGGACCTGCATTTTTAGGTTCCAGACATTAGTGAGAACTTGTAGTATTTGTTCTCTCCCTTTTCACTTCAGGGTCTTTTTAAAATCCAAACATGGGGGAATATACTAGTCTTCTTTGGAAGCAGAAACCATCTCTTTAGCATGTCCCATTCCTAAAAGGAAGCAGGAAGATGTAGGAGTGTGAACAGATTCCATCCCAGGGGCCTGGGCAAGATCTAATACTAGAAGAAGCACATTTTTGCTTTTCTTGTTTCTTGTTCTTGTGGGAGATTAACAGCTGTACATTTACGTCTTCATTGCATGGGACCATCCTTGAATCTCAGAGTAATCTAGAGAGACAAATGGGATCATCAAGGCTCTGTCATCTACCTAAAGCAGAGGAGATGAGGACTCAAGTCAATACCTGACAAATGGATGATTTACAGTGAGAACTTAGCTCAGTCCTCCTGCCTCTGTATGCTAAAGCCCTTGTGCTCTTCATGCCCACTTGCAAACTCTAAAAAAATAAATGGGGAAGCAATGGAGGAAGAATCATTAAATTACTTAAAAGCAACTTCAAAGAGCAGCCAATACCGTTCTTACATTGTGAGAAAAAAGATATCTTCTCTGAGAATCATAGTAAAATATGACCACATGTACTTCACACATGACAGATGAAAAGTCTGATTGCTTTATTAACGTGAAGGGTTTGTGGAGGACGGGCTAGGGGAGGAAAGTCTTAGAGCAGTGAGATTGGTGAGGGTGTGTCATTACCTCTTCAGGGAATGATGAGGTGTATATGAGATCATGTGTGTGTGGGGCGTGGGGGGGAAGACCAGGCTGTTTGATGAATACAGAATGAATGAGGTTGGAGGAGTGACCTGCAGAACATGAGGCTGGAACAACTGGATTTGAGAAGAGAGTAGACAGCACTCATGTCTAAATCATAGCGCAGAACTGGGCTCTTCCTGCTATGACACCCCTATTAAAGTTGGACAGCATGAACAAGCAGGGGAGCATTGCCAATATCAGCCCTAGGTTTAGGAGAACAGTGATCACATGATCTCTATAAAATGTCAACAAAACAAAGCATTGCTTTTTCATCTGGGACGAGAAACATTTATCCCATGTCTGTTCACAAGTGTAGACTGCTCAAGTGAAGGGGGCCTGATTTACCCAGAGGTCAGTTTGATAGCTATGACTATCAAACACATTTGGACATGAAAATAACTGGCTTGTTTTGTGTATTATTAGCTTTAAAATGGGGACATTTCATGTAGAAAACCTAAAAGACCGCAAACAAAAATTGTGCAAGTAGGTCGGCTGCCTCTTCACAGAAAAGCTCCAGGTTAACTGGAGACACTGATGCATTATGTGTAGGCTGGATTTTATTGGGTGTTTCCCCCCCAAGAATTCCAATATTGTGTGATGTGATTGAGGAAAACAATGGCCAGGCTCCTTGCCATTGGGATTCAAAGAAAACTGCTGCAGGGATGTATAGCCTATTCAATCTCATGGTTGAGAAAGGCTGCCACTCACTTAGAGAATCAATTTGGAATGGAAATTTGAAAATGTGAAGAAAAACATGCTTTTTTTCATTTTAACTGTGTAGTAAACTCTTCTTGCACAATTTGAGAGCAAACACAAGAAAGGTTTCCCAGAAGATAATTGGTATATACAATATATTCATATCACTCTTACTATTTACGTATGTATGAAGGCGGGCAGCTGCTTGCTCAAGAAATCTGTCTTCCTAGTCTCCGAGAAACAGAACAATTATGAGACATTGGTCATTTTAAGTGCTGTGTTTCTTCTCAAGAAACCACTTGTTCATTTCTATAATGGACAAGGAACTAGAGACATTTATCTTTATAATTTTCTCTCCTGTTTTGTTCCCTTCAGGGGCCATGAGATACTGAAAACCACGCAAGACAGATCTGGGAAGTCGGGAAACCGTAAAATCACCGAGACCGCATCTGGGCAAGAAGGATAAAGGTAGGTAAACTCTCTGTCCCGTTGATCCTTGCGTTGAGGGTGTCACAGAACATAACTTTATTGTTATAAAAGCTGGGGGACAGTGAAGAAAGGGCAGGGTGGGATGGCTCCAGTTTAGGAAGTTTCTCCATATTGTTCAGTCAGTTATTTCTAGTGATACATCAATAGCTAACAATACACTCTGCATACTTGAGCTACATCCCATCTGCTAACTCCTAGGGGCCGGAGGGTAACAGAGAAAGAGCATGTTTTGATATTTCTATTCTTCTTAGTCATGCCTCTTTAATTTGCTCTCAGTAAAGATCAACGGCCCATTAAAACCCTTTAAAATTCTAGTCTTTAACTCTGGAAAGAAATTCATTATATTAATTATTACTCTTCTTGGAGATATTTTTCTGAGATAACATAGCAATTAATGCATGCCAATTATGTTTTGTTTTATTGAGACAGGGTCTTCCTATGTAGCCTGGCTGGTGGTGAACATTTAGCCCAGGCCTCAGCCTCCCAAATGTTAGGATTATGTAACTGTTTTCAAGGAAATAATCTTGATGGTGCTGACTGGTGGACATACAACTCAAATTAATGCATTTTTGGGGAATAGGAAAACAATATCTTTAATGTAACATGAATTTCAAGTGGTATTATTAATAAAAACAAACCTGGAGCCAGGTATTGGCGTGAATGTTTAAAGATCAGAGAAATGGAACAGGCCACAGCTAACCTCACCTCAACAAATTCTCAGCTGATCTTGTTTCCTCAAACTGGAAGCCTCTGAGTCCTCAACCAAATGAATCTCAGCTGAACTGCTTCTAATAGCCTCAAAGCTTAAAAAGGGCTCTAGTTCCTGGTCCTCACGCCTTATATACCTTTCTGCTTCCTACTCTCACTTCCTGGGATTAAAGGCATGTGTCACCATGCCTGGCTGTTTCCAGTGTGGCCTTTTTTTTTTCCCCCTTTATTTTATTTTATAATACCATTCAGTTCTACATATCAGCCACGAATTCCCTTGTTCTCCCCCCTCCCCTTCCCCCCATCCCACCCCTCCATCCCCACCTCCTCCAGGGCAAAGCAATGAAGGGCGAGGATTGAGGGAAAGAGAGTCTGGGAGCGGGAGATCCCAGCTGGATCAAGAACAGAGAGGGAGAACAAAAAATAGGAGACCATGGTAAATGAAGACCACATGAGAAAAGGAAGAAACAAAGTGCTAGAGAGGCCCACAGAAATCCACAAAGATACCCCCACAATAGACTGCTGGCAATGGTCGAGGTCCAGTGTGGCTTTTAACTCACAGAGATCCAGATGGATCTCTGCCTCCAGAATGCTAGGATTAAAGGCGTGTGTGCCACCATTTTCTGGCCTCTATGTCTGTCTAGTGGCTGTTTTGTTCTCTGACCCCAGATAAGTTTATTAAGGTACACAATATATTGGGGGATACAATATCACCACACTTTAGAGTATTTATATATATACTTGACATGTATGTTGAAAATTGAGGCCACCTTCATGTTGCAATCTTAATGGTATTTTACAATGGTGGAATTTGCCTTGTGGCCTCTCTAACCCTTAATTCTGGGTCTGCCCTCTTGTGTGAGAAATTTGCCCCTCCATCACAGCTTAGATAATGGATGAGGAGAACATGGCATGGGCTTCAGCCTGAGCAAAGTCTCCAGTATTCTCCCATGCTCAGATCCCCAAGAGAACAGAAGAGTAAGGGACCATGAACAAGCAGAAGGTACTACGTGGGACTTGGGCTCTTTGCCCGGGTTTCTGGGGATGAGTGTATACTTCCTTTTCACCCACTAAGATTTAGACACTGACAATGGGTTCTATGTCTTATTGGAACTTTTTTTTTTTTTTTCAAGACAGGGATTGTCTGTGTAGTTTTGGTGCTTGTCCTGGATCTCGCTCTGTAGACCAGGCTGGCCTCTGACTCACAGAGATCTGCCTGGCTCTGCCTCCCAAGTGCTGGGATTAAAGGCGCGAACCACCGCCGCCCAACAGAACATTTTTATTTTAATGCCAACTTTTAAACTTGTCAATGAAGAATAGCACCTTTGTTGAAATTTACCCTTTGAAAGGAAATGATTTCAGTAAAAATAATTTTGGGAAAAACAAAGATTTCTACAGGAGCCATTCCAATCTTTATAGTGGGGGAAAACAGTGAGCAAAGTTCTAAATACTTGCATTGCACTTGAGGACAATTAAAACTGATATAAAGGATAATTACCGGGTCAGTATGGTGGGCTGAATGCTCAGGACTTATAAACAGAATCTGCTTAATGCTCATGATAGCTCTGGGAGGAGGTGAAGAGGTTGTTCTCTTCTGTGATGAAAGCTGGCTTAGTGGCCAACTGCACAGATTTAGCCAGTGGGTGGTGGAGTTGGATAGCAGTCTAATTCTGTCCACTGTCAAACCTATGTCCTTGACCAGCATGGAAAGCAGAAGCTAAAATACTGACTTTAAAGAAGTGCAGCATCTCACTTTCATCAGACATTTATCCTGCATCATTAAAATGCACACTCTTGAGGAGCGCATCATCTCTCTCTACTCAGTGAACTCCGTGACAGATGTGACACATTTTACAGATTCTTTGATGACAAAACACTAAACTCCACAACCCTCCCCAAGAGTAATTAGAAGAAGAGCCAAAAAGAAAATTTCTAACTATTAGCTAAAGAAATTAGAAATCAACAAGAAAGCAAGACAGTGAGTGGATGTATAGTTGGAATGTGATGGTGGTCCAAGTTGGAAATTTTTTTCAATAACTTTATAGTCATAGACCAAAGAACAATACCTACACTTTGGATTTTCTAACAGACTCCAAATGTTCATTTTAGGAAAACATATGTGTGTACCACTTGGTAAGTTAGGATAGCAAAAGTTAATTAAAATATAAGGAAATCTTCCCAAGAAATCAGAAAAAAATCTAATAAGTTTTTTAACTGAATGACAGGTTTGATCACCTGAACTTCTGTTCACTTCACTTTAGAAATTCTAATGGATAAAATAAAAGGAGAAATAATTATTAGCGGTGTTAGGAACTGTTTTAAATTCCTTACAATAATTTTAATTTTTTTTTAACTTCTAGGAGATACTAGTAACTATCCTTGATATTTTACAAACTTGGAAACTGAGCACCAGAGAAGCTAAGTAACTTGGCCCAGTTCACACAGACAATAAGTAGCAAAAATGAATTAGTGCTCAGGTGGTTTAACATATGAGTCTTGAGTCTGAAAACTGTACATTGCTGTCTCTTAATAGGTGTAATTTTGAAAAGTTACAATTATTATGGAAAAGATGACAAAATAAAGAGTATTGGAATAAAAGGGTACAGTTACTTAGGTATAAAATAGTAACTGTATAAAACAGTTTATTTTCCCACAACAAGTAGAAAACATGATAAAATAATCTCGTTTATAACAGTCATGGATACCTATGGATAGCTGTGTAGGAAATATATAAGAATATTGTTAAATAAATATTGTTAAATGAATAACAATATAATGAGAAACACAAAAGAAGGTGAGCAGTGAACAATGTTTATATTGCATTCTTGGATAAGAATAATAAATGTATAAGTGTTATCTTCTCCAGATGAACTTGTGAACTTAATGTAACTTAATTTGTAACCTCAAAAAAAAAAAAACTGGAGGAAAGCTTGCCATTAAAATGGAAGAATTGAATAGCCCAGGGGAAAAGCAAAATTTTGGGAAAAGAAGGGATAATTTAAGAACTTGCCATTTCTGAGGATTAAAATATGTTAAAGAGCTATACTCAAGACAGTGAGCTACTTTGTTTTTTTCACTAAGATAGAAACTTAAAGGTCCAGTGGTGGTTTGAATGAGAAGTTTCCTCCATAGGCTCCATATTGGCATTCTTGCTCTCCAGATGGTAGGACTCTTTGTGGGAGGTTGTGGGATCTTCAGGAGGTACACCTTTGCTGGAGGAAGTATATCATTGGGGTGTGGGCTTTGAGGACTTATAAGCACACCCCAATTCCAGTTTGTTCTTTACTTCCTGTGTGTGGTTGAAATATGACCAGTCAGCTTCCTGTTCTTGCTGCCTGCCATACCTGCCTGTTGCCATGCTCTTCCTGCCTCTGTGGACTCTATCCTTCTGGAACTGTAAGCCCAAATAAACCTTTTCTCCTAAAGTTGCTCAGGTCATGGTGCTTTATCACAGCAACATAAAAGTAACTAATATAGGAGGAACTAAATTAATTTGAAAATTCTACAAAGAGCACAGCATTTAAAAGTAACATGTAATAGAGACATTTCATGTTGATAAAGTCTTGGCTATTCAATGGCAATAACAATAATTGGTTAAAGTTTGGAAGAATGTAAATTTTAATATAATATACAAGGATTGACAAAATATTGGTTGATAACAGAAGAAAGATAATAAGATATAATGGGGGGAAAATACATTCATGAATGCCTTTGCCATATTTTATATAATGTTATTAAAACAAGAATCCATGGCTGAAGAGTGATAGACTTAATCCTATTAAAATTTCCTTATCTGTAAATGAACAAGAGACGCAAACAGCATAGCCCTAACAACGGATTTGTTTTAATTTCTTGAGAGTAGAATTAATGAATCAGTTAAATTCTAGTTAGCATTCCAAAAATATGGTTGTTTAAAGGTTTAGTAAAGTAGAGGCCTTATGGGTAAGTTGATTTCCTACCCTCTGCAGCATAGATAACCATTGACACTGTCAACAGATGGATGTTATGTCGTAACATGATATGATATACTATCACATATATGTGCATACACACACACACACAAACACATACACACACACACACACACACACACACACACACACACACACACATACATATAAGTAATGACAGCATTATAGAAAAGTCCCAGCAACAACTTGGAAATGAAGCAGTTTTCCACCAAAAAGAACAACTTAATTTGAGCTACAGTACTCACAAGAGTGAGGGATTTTAAGTAGACATTTTTATAACGCTTGCACATCAGTGCATAT